AAGCGAGAAAGCGAGAAAGTAATCTTGTTAAATTTCACTTTGTATAGAAGAAGTATGTTAAACCCATTGTTGTGACATATTTTATAGTGAAAATTTATCAGGAGTATTAAAAAGTATTTGAATATATTTTAAAGTTGTACAGAATGATTGAAACATAAGGATATTGCATTATCAAATCTTCCGACAACAACTAGTATTTGGACATTTAGTTATATATATTTGCTAAGCTCAGATATTAGTGAATGTCTGGATGATCTCTCTTTCTTTTATTTTCAAAATTAACCATTTATACTTGAAATACATTATCTACTTAATACAGCAATTTTTCATTGATAAAAGAAACGTTGAAAAAATCCGGTTCATTTTTATATTAAAAGATCTGCATAATGTTTGTAAAAGGTATTGTAAACTGATAGATGATGATTGGATACTAATACAAGCCAAACCTTTAAACTTTCTTGAGAAAATGTTAAACGCCTAGCACTTAATTTGTTTATATTTAGACATCTCTAGATACAGTAATAATACCAACTCGTTTAATTGGAGATGCAATAAATTTCTACATTATATTTATCATTATCATTCAAACGGTTGCTAATTTGACAAAAAAACGCATTTAACTGCCTGTAAAATTACAAGGGAGTTTAACATTTTGGTTTGTAGAAAGTACATCGTTTACGGCAAAGCATTTGTTAAAGAATAATAGGCTGTTAAAAGTTATCTGGATAAACATTTTAGCAAAGATATAATTTACCCGGTATTCATTTGTTTTAATAAATGACTACAACTACAATCCGTTTGATTAATGACAACAAATAACCATTTACCACCATTTGATAATTTTGATACGTTCTAAGATATGTTGAAAGCTCACACAAAATTTGTCTTGGAGTAATAATTCTAACTCGTTATGTTTTAGATGATATAAATTTCTACATTGTAGTTATCATTGTCATTTTAAACGGTTACTAATTTGACAAAAACGCATTAAATTGCCTGTAAAATCACAAGGGATTTTAACAGTTTTGTGTGTGGAAAGTAGATCGCGTTTACATCAACCCATTTGTCCAACCTTAAAGAATAATAGACAGTTAAAAGTTATATTTTATCTGGATAAACGTTTAAGTAAAAATAGAATTTACCCGGCATTCATTTGTTTCAATAAATGACTACAACTACAATCAGTTTGATTAATGACAACAAATAACCATTTACCGCAATTTGATAATTTTGATACGTTCTTAGATATGATAAAGGCTAAAACAAAATTTGTTTATATTTCCGCTCGCCATGCAGCAATAATTCAAACTCGTTAAGTTTAAGATACTACAATTTTCTGCTTTGTTTTTATCATCGTCATTTTAAACGGTTACTAATTTGACAAAAACACATTAAATTGCCTGTAAAATCACAAGGGATTTAAACATTTTGTTGTGTAGAAAGTAGATCTTTTTTGTTGCAACGCATTTGTCCAAGAATAATAAACATTAAAAAACTATATTTTATCTGTGTTTATGTTTCCACTCGTCATGCAGCAATAATTCCATCTCGTTAAGTTTGAGATGCTATAATTTTCTACATTATATTTATCATTGTCATTTTAAACGGTTACTAATTTGACAAAAATGCATTAAACTGCCTAAAAAATCACAAGGGATTTTAACAGTTTGGTGTGTGGAAAGTAGATTTCGTTTTTGCAACGCATTTGTCCAAATATAATAGACAGTTAAGAATTATCTTTTATCTGGATAAACATTTTAGTAAAGATAAAATTTACCCAGTATTCATTTGTTTAAATAAATGTCTATTATTTCAATCATTTTGATTGATGATAACAAATAACCATTTACCACCATTTGATATTCTTGATACAAACAAAATAAAATTAATTCCACAAGGGGATGGTCTTTTCCCTGCAGTGTTGTGTTTAAACAAATGTAAAACTGAAACAAAAAGCAAATGAGCTGTCATTTAACTTGTATTCACAAATTAGGTTTAACTGTATTGCATGCTAAAATGTATGAACAAAAAGCGATGATAAGCATTTATGTTTATATTAAAAAGTCGCTTTACTTTGTTAATGTCCCTCTTAACTGTTTTGACATTAAAATAAAATAATTCGTTCCGTATTTTTTTATAAGTGGCAGTTTCGGCAGTCAAACACAAAACTTGTATTAATATCACTTCCACATTATATAATACAGAAAAGCTGTTTAAGAGAATCATCAAAATGTAACTATATAATCGAATAAATTTGTGCTAGCGTTTTTTCCTTTGAACAAACTGAAAGTTATATCAGCGTCATAGTATATGAATAGTAAATTTGTTCTGCTCATTTTATGTATGATCTGGAGGACCACATCTCTGTCATGAAAAACCCAATCAAACTGAGTATGTGATTTTTGTTTCATTGCTTCCTATAGATATGTCCATTTCCAAATAAATACTAGTATTTTTATTTTCATTTTTAGCAAAACTTTGCTCGGTTGTTGAAAAAAAATTTAATTGCATAAATTCACTAAACTTGTTTAGCACTTGATGTCTCGTCCCGTTGTATGAGCATCCCTATGAAAAGCAAAGCATATGATATATGAGTTATGAATATTTGTTGACATGTTAATGGCCCTAAATTTACGGTTTATTCATTAAAACCCAGATCCATTAGGTGATGGTTAATATTGCAAATAATCGTTTATATCCGGCCATACAACATGTAAGAATCTTCTTCTCCAAAATTTATAACAAAAGAATCAATTTCCAGAGACAATTTCTGGCTTTTTATAAAGAATATGAAAACCTAAAAATCTAATAGCATACTTAAATAACACAGGTGACAAACGTCTTGCCGTTGATACATGTACATTGAATTTCGATTAAACATGTTCAAACACTATGTGTTCATGTACCATTTAGCGGAGATTAACCAGGCAATGTTTTGTCCTTAAACTGACCATGAAGTAGATGTTGTGCTTATAAACCATGCGGGGTCATCAAAGGGAAATGTGTGTTGCCATTGTTTTGGATTTTCTTTGATGTCATAATGTTTATTCCTATTCATAAACCTTTTTAGTAAGCGTTTTATCACAGAACACAGAAATGAAAAAATCAGTTACCGCATGTTTCAATTAAATTTCTATACCATGTAGATTTGAGGAAATTCTTTAACAAAATCTATCGTATCATATCGTATCATATTTCGAATATAGTCATATCTCAAGGTTACATTTTCTCAAGCGTGCTCTGGCCGTTTCAAAATACGAATTACCTTGCGTGTAATGGTCATTTTCGGAATGTTTGATGATTTCATTAAACTAAGTAACACACAGACATAAGCATTTGCTTCAATGAAAGCAAAGGATATGTCCGAGTGAATTACGTTCTTAATAAATACCTGCTTGAAATAAAACTGACAACTTTTCTTGACCTTTTTGATAAACATGTAATTATTAGCTGTTGATTTTTATTCTCATGCATGAAAAGAATTTCTTTGATCGGTATGACATAACAATAGCAGTTCATCGCCAACAGTTTTTGCAGCATGATATTGATATATTAAGATATGACAAGAGCATTATTAAATTACGTAGTTAATAATATCAATAGTTATGTATCTTATATAGAATTATTTATTACATAACACTGTTTATTTACAATACTCGTATATAATGTAATGTATGTTAAGAGTCCAGTGACTTTTATACACTCATTTTATTGAATTTAATATCCTTGGTAGTATATACATGTACAATTTTCAATACTGAAAAAGACAAATGTGAATAAAATGTTATTCTAAATAACGTAGGTAGCAAAAATAGCATTTTCCAACAGATCTCAAAACATACACTGCCTTAAAGTGTTTTGCTAATTAAGTCATTTACAATATAGCAATCAATATTGTATTTCATAATTTGCCATAGTGCCTTGGGTTTACTTCAAATACTTCACTTGCAAGGTATTTGACTAAATTTGAAAAACGGTGCTTTATTATTTATTATCTTACCTTACAGACATACAGGCTTAAAAATGACATAGCAAAAATACGGGTAATTTATCCTTGTTTGTACATCAAATTCTCAGAGTCAGACACCCGTTGATTTTCATTTCCATACATAAGCAATTGATAATTTATAATTTCAATGACCACAAACACGTTTTGCAACATCAATGGGAGGGCGAATAATTGCTAAAACAGCGATATCGTTTACATTATTTAAACATGATACTGACTTCATATCCTGTAAAATGCTCCCAATGCCCCCCCCCAGCGTTACACCATGTGATTTCATAATTTAAATTATTATTTGATCATGTCTGATAATATAGCGCGTCATTTTAATTTTGCCTGTCAAAATCATTATTGCATTCCATCTATTCTCTCTATTTCATTGTTTTAGTGGAAATCATATCAAATTCTCTAATATTGTATAACAGCAACAAAATTCTGTCAAAATACAAATGCTTGGTGTCAAACCAAATCAATTATACTTTGTTGAAAACAATGCTGATCTATTTAAACTGTACAACCTGCAAAACCTATATAAAACTCGGCTAGCGCTTTGAAAATGTAAGTTTGACAGCCGTTATCTCCTCCAATAGAATTCAGTATGATAACTGCCTTATATATATGTGTCTGATAAATGTGATTATCCATGAGTTTTGTACTTCACAAACGTTTACGCGCTCTGGTGGAAACCCGATTCTGGTATCAGCCAATATTTACTAGTAGGCTCATCAAGTTCATCAATACGTTATTATGAATAAATAGGATATAAATTCCATTGCGTGTGTGTTTAAGTTTTGAAAGTGCTAAATTTAATACCATTATATATGACATTTGATGTTATCAAATTATTTAACAGATAGCAATCCAGCAATTTATATCATGTGAAATAGAACATAAAAAAATAACTAACTTTAAAGGCTTAAATGCCAAAAAAATTAAATAAATGTAAGTTATTTAAAGGAATTTGATTTGAAAAATATTATATTGTCTATTTCAGGAATTATTGGTAACGATTAGCGGAGATCTGACGAATGATATCTTAGTGAAGGACTCTTAGAAAAGAGCTTCTTCATTCCAGACTTATTTAATCTGATTGACACGCCTTTGTTATGAAGTAGCCGTCCCATCAGCGTAAAAGCAACAAAATAATACTTTTCTGACGGATATAAAAGGATATAAAATGGAGAAACGTGAACTACAATAAAATGGCAAATGTGTTGAAATTATTAGTGTTGTTTTTCTGTGATATGTGCTTAGGTCTGGATTTATCAATACAGATTGTCGCTCCGGAAAGAAGTGGGGAAAATGACCTTATAACAGCGGCTAGAACTGCAAGTTTTGCCGTTAATGGCGGCAGATTTAACCGAATAGTAGCTGAGGGGCATAGAGTCACACCCGGTGTATCATTTGTAACTAATGTAAACGCAAATCCCTATCGAATAACAGATTTCTACTGTTATGATGTATTTTTAAACAATGCGAGTGTTGTAATGAATATTAATTACGGATATGATACGTCAATTGCTTCGGATTATATAGTTAATACTGCATTAAATCTTGGAATACCTGTTATCAGCTGGGACCCAGTTTTTCCAAGTTCTTTTGAGGTAAGATATTATCGTTCGCCTAACTTAGCTTCAAAACCAATGTAACTGGAAAAGCATGGCTGATCTATTTGTAATAAAGTGGCTAGGATACTTTATGACAATATTATCCTCAACGTCAATGTAATAATCATCTTAACTATAATAAGACTAAATGTGCCTCTTCGTACATTATTACACAAACGAGCGGGCACCTTTGCAGAACCATGGATCTAAGATAGCTTTCTTACATAAAAAAATAAATCAAAAGTCTTTGATGTTCGGCGGGGCAAATTATTTAAAGTCAGCGGCCTTAAACACTCGCCCCAAGAAACCCCCTTATTTAATTATGTAAAGACATATTTATATTTCATTCGAATTTTTATTATTATTATTATGTAAATTTGTAATGAAAGATTTCTCTTTTGATGTCAGGTTGACGAAGAACGCCTTGTTTTACAGCTAGCGCCAGCCATTCACCATGAGTGTGAAGCTATGTTTTTGATGATGGAGAGATATAACTGGACAGAATTTTCAATCGTGACATCATGGGATATCGGTAAATATCTGACAGTTTTTTATGAAATATATGCCTATATCCTAAATACAAAGTATCTATGATTTTCTCCTTGAAACTTTCCAAAGCTTACGTTAATAAAATCATAATGATCTTCGTAGATATTGCTGCATATCTGACATTCATTTATGAATTATTAGTAAATATAAAGTGTACAAAGAGTTCTATGTTACAGTTTTCTTGGACCATCTATTTTAATTTCTAATTGATTTGATACACCATGACATGCTATGATTGTTGTAATAGCATTGAATACTGGAGGGAGATGTATAAAACATGTATGATTTAGAAATATAACACAACATGATTTATGTACAATTAAAATGCAATACAATGTATCCCTCTTTTCAAGATATAGTGCTTTGAAATTTGTTAAAACTTCTGCTATATAAATATGTGCTGAGTACTGTTGTATATCCATTTGCTTTTCTATTTGCGCAGGTGGAGATTTTATTCAGTGTATGGAATTAATGGTCAACCGTACAAGCATACGACAAGGTTACATAACAAAACCGAGGTAAGGTGGTATATGATGTCTCTTAGTTTAGTAATTTTCTATATATATTTTCATAACCTGTTTTCTATATATATTTTCATAACCATAATATCTTAAAGGATGCTTTAGAAGCTTAAACATTATTATGACAAAACGATGTAAAGGATGGGCGGTTAGATTACAAATTTAGGAAAAGCTAATTCTAAGTCCCTGGTATTGTATCTTGAATGTCAGATTAAAACGAACAGAACTTTATGTATTCATATAATTTAAAATTACTTACTGAATCAACACAAATTCGGGTATCCGTCTTTCTTTTAATCAACTTCTAGGTATCAAATTTTCCCTTTTTTTGTAGAAAATTGCAGTTATTTGCTCGTTTGAACCAAATGTTTATGTTTAAATTACACAAATCAAAAGTAAGAAATATAAAATAAAGTCTAACATTACCACACGCAAGTATTCGAAACAATGGTTTGAATAGTTTCAAACATTTTTTTTCTTTTCTTCACTTGTAAAATAAAGTTAGAACCTGACTTAATTTAAAATAATTTTCAGTACTATCTGATATAGTGATGATTTATGCGAGATTGCGATAATTTTAATATAATCATGTAAAACATTTATTCATACTTTTTAAATTGATATTCGCGTAGGCCTTATCTTTCTGGTAAATGTGTCGTTTTAAAAAAAAAACATTTATCACTATTAATACTGGCGTTAAAATGTTTTTTTGTTTTTTTTAAATAATTGTTTTTTGTAAAGAAAGTGAGTATGTATAGGTTAATAATACATGCCGGCTTTGTTAAAGTATGAAAAGGGTTTTTGAGGATTTAATCTGAAAATGTTGACTTACCAAATACTTTTGATGTGCATAAAACGTGGTATAAGTATTGAATTTGTTTCTTTTGCAGGTTTATTAATATAGCTACAGTTATATTTGATAAAATAGACACATTTGAAGGGAGCCTTTTACCATCTGGAAGAGCGTATGTTTTGAAACAATTGCAAAAACTTATCAAAGCAAGAAGTCGGATTATTTTCTTTCATACTAGGTAAATATATGATGGTCTGCTATATAATATTATTCCATAAATGTTCTCTTATGTCTGCATTTTAAACTCTTAACATTGAGATCATATTTGAACAATAAAGCGTTGGTTGTTTTTCATATACATGTATATTGAGAATATTTGATATTTGGTCCGACTTAATATTTTATACACAAATATTTGTTTAACTGAAAAGTAAAGAAGAATGTCACTAATATATATATATTTTCGATCACAAAACCAATTGCTTATTTTCATTGATTATGCCTCTCTGTTCAGTCAGCATTTAATGTTTTAATCGAACTTTACTTACATTATATATATTTAAACCAAGTGAAAGTGTAAGGCTAATCAAAGAGATAAAAATAAATTAAAAGAACCGAAAAATATAATAATCTTAAACTGCTTAAAATAACTGCAGATTAAGAAAGTAATTAATTTCTCAAAACATTTTGAAGATGTTCAGTGGAAATTGTTTTAAGGTCTTTTAAGTAATTTATATATATATAATTAACTTTTTGTGATAGAAACAGTATGGAAATCCACGACCAAATCTTAAATTAAAAGGAGACTGTCGTGTTAAGACAAAATCAATTTAATTTTACACACATCATTGAGAGGTGGAATCAAACTTGTATCCAAAGTAATAATCATGAAGGCATTATCGGCAGACAAAGTGTCGTTTACCCAATTCTCCTAGGCTATCACTTTTATTGACAAGCATATCAAAACAGCCATCTGAGATCAATTTATTATCTTCAAGTTTGTACTACTTGTCAAGATTTGCTTCGGTAAACATTAGAAAACTCTGGCGATTTTATTGCAATGTTAGCTGATAATAATTCAGTTAGTGAGAATGTCGCCTATGTGAAAGGAGTTTGTGATGACACGATACGTTTATCGTGAATGAAATATTACCAGGAAAGTGTTTATGTAATGAGAAATTAAAAAGGAAACGACAAGTACTTGCTTTAATGGGCTAAAGTCGAGTGAGTAGAATAGAAATATATTATACGCAGGGGATACATACAAATAACTGTTTAAGGCAAGGTCATTTCTAACGTTGCTTAGTTGTATCACAAATATGACAATAAATCAGATAACTCACGGTAATGTCTCGGAATTGATTTGATTTTTTAACGATGATGTTATGAAGGATTTAAAGTATGCCAGCCATTGTTAAACTCTACATTATCTCGTTCATTACGTTACTGACCTCTTAGTGTTGAGTTAAAAAAAAAACACACAGATATTTTGTGATTACCTAGATTTTATGTCAGACTCTATTAAAAGGTTTTATGACGAAGACGTATTTTACTTTCAAAAACATTTTAAAACTTGCCAACATTTACTTATTGAAAAAAGATCTACAAAAATGTTTGTTTTAGTCAGTTATTTACTTATGTATCAAATAACTAGATAATTTGATAAAGAGCTTATATATTTGGACAATTTATATTGCTATATAAACTATAGATAGCTTTGAAATGTATTTCTTTAAATGGCTAAGAAATAAATGTCGATTTCAGCCGTATTCAATTTGATAAGCCATATAAAAGAATTTATAAATTATTTCATAAAAAATATCAACCAAGAAAATATGTGATATGAAACTGTCACTGATTATGTTCCTTAAAGAAATATCTTCATGCTCGACGGAATCATAATTTGTCCTTAAAGCTATGCGTCTCCAACATTCTGGTCTTCATTTACAGAATCTGCAAAATGATGGACATGTAATTGTATGATAGTGTCACCTTATCGTGTCCATTATCAATGTTTGAAAATATCTACAAAAATTACCCATATCATTGATCAATTGATCAATATGTAATCATCAATATGTATTCCTGATTGAGCGTTTTATAACGTTTGATGTCTTGTGGGTTACCTGGTAATATCTATTTTGAAAATTGAAATTAAACCGAGTCAAGTGTGTTAAAGTTGTAACATTTTATTTCTCTTAACACTCGAATCTTTATCTTCAGACCGGTTGATGCATTCAATATTCTAGACATTGTAAAAGAAATGAATTTAATAGGAGAACATTTTGCTTGGGTACTGACATCAGGTAGTATAGGAGAAATTGAGGAGGGGAGTGGAACACCAATGCACGAAGGTATCTTAGGTAAGTCACTGAGGGATTGGGCAATTATTTTCGACAATAATTATTCAAAGAAGTAGGAAGATATGTAAGAAAGAAACAATATAAATACGCAATTTTTGCACGTTTGCAATCATCATTACTTGAGTATGTGCTTAAGAATAAGCATTTTAAAGGATTAGATTTAAGTAATATTGGTCGTCAAAGAATGTCCAAACGCCCTTTCAAAGATTGATTTTTTAAACCGAAAATTAATCTAGGATAATGCAAGTGTGTTATTAAAAATAGTTGCAGAAGTTAAATTCAGTCGCAGATTAAAAGCAAATTGTTCAAATTAAATAACTACAACACATTGCTGAAGTAGCAAAGCAAATAAACCAAATAGTTGTTATTGGCCTATTTTTTAACATGTGCTTCAGTTTCAAGGTAAACATTTCTTTCTTTTGTCAAGAAAAACATTGCTACAAACTAAGATTTTTTTCACTATAGCTATAAGCAAGAGTAGGTCTCAAGAAAAGATTACAGAAGGTATACAGAATGCGATCAAAATTTATGGTGAAGCCGTTAAATCCTTATTGAAATCAGGAATTGACAGTGATCAACTACAACCTGACTTCTCCTGTGACTATGACAATGCTTTGTTAAAGTGGATAGATGGTAAAAAATTATATAAGTAAGTTTATATTGAATGTCTTAATTTTGTAACACATTTCGAATGAAACACATATATGTTATATATAAAAACTGTGCTCAAACAATCAATTAGGTCATGTCCAGTAAAACAAACCTAAAAGATAACCAATAATGTTAATTGGCCTACTAATAATTGTCAATGGTTGAAAATATCTGCACGTTTTAGTTCAAGCAATTTTATTTTCCTTCAATTATTTTTTTAAGTAAGTATTTGGGTTCTAAATTCCATTGGTGTTCAGTCATACAACATAATGTTTTTGATTAACAAAGAATGCTTTGTAATAAGTTGTAATAAGCAATAAGTGTGTAAATGTAAACAGATATATAGATATTAATGACGGGGACTAAAAGGATCTTTTATCTATAAAAATAATGTGTACGAGAATGTTATTTTTGAAATTCACAAAATAAAAATATATTTAAATTTTGAGCACTGGAGTCTGCACTAGTAATGTTTGAAAGGATAATTCGACGAAAAGATATATAACAAATGTCTGAAAGGATAATTCGACGAAAAGATATATAACACGAGAACTCTGACTCGTACATAAAAGATAGATTGTTGATGTCAGATATGTTAGAATACAATCTTAAAAAGATATTAGGAATTATTATAGTTTTGATCATTTTAGTGAGATGAAAAATGTTGTTCTCAAGCCGTCCAAAAAGTCGGATATCCCAATCCAGTTTACAGAGAACGGTGTAATAGAGCATGTAGAGCTTGACCTGATGAACGTTCGACCGCCAAAAGTACCAAGAAGATTTATTAACACACAATGGGATAAGGTGAGTTTATCAGTTAAACTTGACCAACAGGATTAATGTATTAAACGAATACCAGGCTAACATTATGCAAAACAATTTTGCCTTGTTAGGCTTTTTTAGGGATTTTGTTTTTCTCAATTTTCACAGAAAATTAAGGAAAATGCACGCTATTGTTTAGATCGATCCTGTTCATGAGAAACCAAAAAATAGAAGAAAATTTCTTCCATTCCTTTTGCCGTAAAAGTCAATCATTAAAATAAATGGTTCATTCAAAATGATATTGATAGTACTTATATATTGTACATTTATTTTTATGCAAATCTATGTGAATTGTTCTTATATGATTTTTCTTGTATAAAAATTTGTATGAATTGTATTTATATTATAAAATGTATTCTGAATTAGTTTTCTTTTAGCTATTTCGCACCATTTCAAAAAAAATCTGCATTTTAGCAAAGCAAACAAAATTTAAATTAAATAAAAAAATGGTGGTAAACAAAATAACCGAAATTTGTGATTTTTAAATTAAATGATTTTTCTAATTTGTTTTCTAATTTGCATTTCCAGGTTGGTCGAATTTACCCCAGAGCTGAAGGAAATGATATAAGTCTTAATTTGGTCATAGATGAAATAGTTTGGCCTGGTCGATTAGCCACTCCTCCCAAAGGAAGACCAGAAAAACGTTCATTTAGAATTGTAACAAAAGAAGAACAGCCGTTTATGATATTTTTGCCACCAGAACCTAATGGAAAATGTGGACATCATCAAGTTCCTTGTTTAGTCAATACAGGAAGAGATCCCGGGTAGGTAACGATTGGTAACGATTCTTGATAATGATCATTTCTGACAATATTTTTCAAATCAATTATTTCCGTCAGCAGTACTTTAAACGGTATAAATCTATATCTTATGAAATATTTCAATAAGATTTATCGACAGTAAAATTATATTGGTACCATTATTATATGGTTGATTCCCGAAAAAGTTATAACATAGAATGTCTCTGTTATTTAATTCACGTGAATAATGTAGTAAACAATATAAAATGTTCCGAAACAAAATACTGTTTTGCTATTTTAAGTAGGGTTTTATCCGTTTAGTAATGATTTTGTGCAAGCGCCATTTGTTTTTATACAAGCACTTTTGAAGTATACTTTTTTAAAACTCAAACAATAATTTTTGCATCAGATATATAGCTTTACACACTTTAAATTTCGTTCCCTAAAATGTAAATTTTAGTATACACACAGTTTCAATTTCGAACATCTGTTATCCTGTAGTAATACTGGCTACCCGAATGGAACTATGAGCTATTGTTGTGCGGGAATGTGTGTTGAAATCCTTGAAAGGCTTGCAGATGAACTAAATTTCGAGTATACTTTGTATGAAGTCCCTGATAAGGAATGGGGAGTGCAGGATCCAGTAAGATTTTGTTTTCTGTATTTTTACTGTAATTTAAATGTGTATCATACAATTATATTTAGTGTATGAATATTGTGCCTTGAGGATTAATATATTTTAATAAAATTAAAACAAGTAAGCAACATAATATGCGTTAGATATACATCTGACAAAATGGGAAATGTATCTTAATACCACTTAACTAGTCTGTTCATACAACATTTTTGTGTAACAATAGGTGACAAAAGAGTGGAACGGATTAATTAAAGAGCTGTTAGAGGAAAAGGCAGACATGGTTGTGACAAATTTTATAATAGATGAGATGAGGCTAGGAATTATCGACTTCTCCACACCGTTTCTGAGATCTGGGGTTACAATTATGGTGTCCATCAGAAAAGGAGCAATTTCCCCGTATGCTTTTCTAGGTATGTTTGCAAGACAATTTCCTTATTTTCTAACAAACGTTTGTCATACACTGTAAAGTTTCAGTTTTAAGTTATTGGTTTTCGCTTTTTTGTTCGTTTGTGTGTTCAATTATTAATAAATCTGTTTATTAATAAAGTCATACATACTAAGTAATTAAAATTGATTGAGGTTGGTTGGTTGGTTGGTTGATTGGTTGGTTGGTTGATTGGTTGGTTGGTTGGTTGGTTGGTTGGTTGGTTGGTTGGTTTGTTGGTTATCAATATATACATATATAAATATGATAAATCTGTTTATTAATAAAGTCATACATATCAAGTAATTAAAAATTGATAGATTTTGGTTGGTTTGTTGGTTATTAATATATACATATATTTTCCTCTCTTTTATAGAACCCTACGACTTTTATTCCTGGATACTGATCCTTATATTCAGTGTCCATGCGACTGGAGCGTCCATATTTATCTTCGAGTGGTTAAGCCCGAGTGGTTTGGATCAGGGAAAAACGTCAACAGTAGGTAGGCCTTTCATAAAGTCATAGAACTGAATTATTGTAGATAATTTTAGATAATACTTTCTTCGGTCACATATTTATGACATGATTAAGGTTGTCAATAGGTATATTATAATATTTTTATCCACATCAACATTTTTGTTATTCTTTAAAAACGGGAAAAGATGCGTTTTTTCTAATGTTTAAAAAGCGTTTTAGAGCGTGCTAGATGTTTATCACTTGAAGAAAGTAGCACTGAATTGAAAGTATTTGTCATACAATTATGTATTTATAATAATCACACGAAGGAAAATATTCGACTTATTTTGAAAAGCTTTAAACTACCTTTTAAAATTACACATTTTTATTAGAAGAAAATGTACCGCAAGCAATAGCTATATTCTTAGTCATGTTTGCATAATTTCGAGTTTGTGAACCTTTAATTAATGCAAATGTAGATTTTTTGCAAGCATTAAGTTTATTATTACAAAATTAATTAATGACAACCGTATCAAATACCACAAAGTGGCTACTTATCTTACGCATTGTTATGAACTATTGAAGTAGTAATAATTATTGCTATATTTCAGATCATAAATTCTCATTGTTCCGATCGTTCTGGCTGATATGGGCAATGCTTTTTGGAGCGGCTGTTTCCATTGATGTTCCCAGGGGAGTTTCCAGCAGATTCCTAGCAAATGTTTGGGCTTTATTTGCCCTTGTGTTTCTGGCCAGCTATACTGCTAATCTCGCAGCATTTATGATAACAATAGACGAATATTACGACCTTTCTGGGATAGAAGATTGGAGGGTAATAACAGATTTTTAGAATATAAAAAGATGAAATGGAATTTTGATTTTCAGTAACATCCAACTTTAAAAAGCAGGTTTTCCGATTAATTTATTTTTACATTTTTTTTTCAACAATATTCTTTACTACATTAGCTTTTTGTAAATCCTTTAAATAACGAATGTTGATATTAGAACTGCTCATTCTTAGGGGGTGAAAATGTTTAAATGGCGGGAAAGCTCACTAGGCAGAGTCGAACTTGTTTTCCAGGTTATAACACCTGTTTAGGATTGATGTTTTTGTTTTATTCAAAACTATGATTATGTAAAAACCAGAAAGCAGTAGGTAGAGACCATGTTTTTTTAATTTTGCTAATTTATCCTTGGAATAAGATATACGAGAAATTATCAGCTGACCAATACAATTGTTTTACTTTTTTATGGAATTTGACAATATTTTTTTTTGTTTCAGCTGTTAAAGCCAACAACACTGACCCCACATTTCAAATTCGCTACTATAAATAGTACCAGCACAGACAGCAATTTAAAAACAACATATCCTAACATGCATAAATACATGTCAAAATACAGTCAACCAGATGTACAAACAGCCAAGGAAAAATTAAAGAATAAGTATGCACCAATTTAAATTATAAAACAAAATAGTTCTTCATATCAGTGTGTTTAATAAAAGCGATAACTTTTCAAGTTAAGATTATCGGCAGAACTAAGTTTACAAATACTGGTACCTTGCGATTTATAATTTCAATAAAAAGCAAGTTCCAGCCTTTTTAGATATTTTCTATTCGTCTGGTCTTTGGATAGTCCATTGAAACTCGGGACATATTTAAATGATGGATATTATTAATTACTATTTATTAAGTTTTTGATTGATTTATATCATCTGTTGAGATACTTACATTTTTTACGTTTTGCTATCAAATAATACAGTGTGACCTTGAAATATTTATCTCGACAAGTCATTCCAGAGACCGATTTTATATTTGTTTGTTTGGTTGATTGGTTGCTTGCTTTCGTAGAAAACATACCATTTCTTACCAATTTCTACGCAAGTGGGCAACTACTATTCCGATGTTAGTTTTCTGAGTCAGAGGTCAAAGACGATGATCATCAGAATCAATGTCTGAGATCAATTGTCAATTGTCAGTTTATTAATTGGAAAAAATCGCGTCACCCTGGGATCGAACCAGCGATGACGGCTCTGTATATTACTGAAACATATACAAGTCTAAATTTATGTGTTTCAGCACTATTCATGCGTTTATATATGACGCCAATGTGTTAGAATATACTGCTGGCAGGGACGAGGAATGTTCTTTACTCACAGTTGGAAGGTGGTACGCAATGTCAGGGTATGGTGTGGGCTTTAAAAGAGGGTCAGTTCTGAGAGAGGAGGTTGATGAAGTTATTCTGAATATGCAGCACGCAGGTAATGTAACATAGCATGACATGATCATCTGTGTTCTATAATTATAAATTAACATTTATACATTAAATACACGTTTTCTTAAAAAAACAATCAAAAATACAAATCAATTTTATACTTGTTTTTAGTTCTGATAATCACTTAAAGCTTATTTACCCTTAACCTTCTAATGTTCTTGTATAGATTTGTCCTGCTTGCATTTTCGGAAATGCCCAACATCAATTTAAGGGATATCAGGATTAAAATTTGAAATGTGTTAGCAAAAAGTTAAAAGCACAGAGAGCTTATAATTGGCTTGTCTACGTATCTTATCATAGTCAGTGGTTGCTATGGAAGTCATTGGTTGCTAAGGTGGTTCACTGGTTGCTAGTTGGTAATTGACAAGCACCTTTGAGGGAAAAATGCGCACAAACTATCCTGGATGCATATCAAATATTTCAATGATAAAATATATTTCATTATATCTTTATTTTTAATTGTAAAATACATTGAAATATCATGTTGACGTATTATTTCGATGTCGTCTAACCTATAGGATAATCTTAGGTAAAACCTAACTGTCCTTAGTTCGAAAGACACATTAATTTTGATATTGCAAAAAAGTACTAAAAAGCTTCCCTTTTCTTGCAGGTGATATAGAACGTCTAGAAAAATTCTGGTTGTCAGGTGCTTGTCATGCCAAAAAGGAGAAAAAAGACAAACGAAGCAATAAAATTGGAATATTAAATTTTATAAGTGCTTTTATATTACTAGCAGCGGGTGTTTTATTAAGTGTGATATTAATAGTGTTAGAACATTTGTACTTTAAATCGGGAAGGAAATGTTTAAAGAAATATGATAAATGTGGATGTTGTGCTCTAGTAAGTTTGGTAAGTATAGTTCTTTATCTATATTCAAAGTACAAAGTGTGCATTTCATAATTAATTTTTAGATACAATCTTTGTAAATGTATCGACAACAGTCAAAATTGTATAATCTTCAATTGTTTTTTTCTTTTTAAAACAAATAGTAAGTGTTTTGTGTCGCCTGCTTCAAAGTATTTGACGTATAAGGATCACTTCTTTGTCGTCTTCCTATCCGTCAGTCACGAAGCTTGTCTGGACTTTTCCTCAAGAACTACTTGTGCAATTGTATCCATATTTAATAGAAATGATCAGTACCAAGTCTTGTTGTGCATATCGCTGTTTTGTATAGTTTAATGAGTTTTCGTCATAGATATCGCCCTGTTATGATTTTTGTTTTATTACTTCTCTTATACCACTAACACAATGTGAATGAAACGTTACAGGATTGATTGATACCTCAATTACTTGTACCTAAATGGCTATTATAAGGTGATACATAAAACCATAAATCACTCCGCTCTTGTATTTTCATTTGTTTCCAATGACATTTTCAGAGACATTGTTGCTGAAAGCAGGTTATCTAGGTAGTTTTTCTTTCGTTCTTTCGTATCATGTTATTTAAAATTATTGTGTACTTCTTTCCTTACAGAGTATGGGTAAATCATTAACTTTCGAACAGTCAGTATTTGAAGCTATTGATATTCAACGTAAACATAAATGTAAAGATCCTATATGTGAGATGAATATCTGGAAAGCAAGACACCAGTTGGATATTGCCTTATTAAAGATCAAGAATATGCAGAAGGAAATAGAGTAAGTAACCTTATCTTAAATTTGATATATTTAAAATAATACTATTGTGTAATTACAACAAATTCAAAAGTCATGAAAGGAGGAAACCTTCCTTATCAAAATATTATTGCCATTCCGCAAATAAGAATTCCGTTTAAAGTTCGAATTTAGCTTAATCAGATATATTCTATTTTTCTGCATTAAAAAGACTACTTATCTTCCATTGCTTATTTGAAACCCCATATTTTGAATTTGGAATAATGGTAAAAAAGAACGTCAATAGATATATCGTTTTGATTATTTGCATGACATGTTCTATAGACTTGATCAAAACATGTTGATGTTGACACTTTTCAATATATTTTTCAAATAATTAAGCGTATGAAGGAATACAATATGTGCCCTTGAGATTGGCAAAATAAACGTTAGAATACAATAAGTAAGTAATATGAATTGTATGAATGTTAACAGTTGTGTTGCTTAAATTTCAACCTATGTCATCACATGAGTATGTTATTTTTTCAGCAGTCAAGCGTGTAAACCATCAGGGTCAGAGGTAGAAACAAACGCGGTTGTCAGCAGTAGCTCACATTGAGTACAGACCTTCCTAAAACATTATACATCCCCATTCTTTCTGTCCATAGTATTTTCAAATTATCTGACAATTATGGACAAATGTTAAAGTGTGAATATTTTTAGAAGTGCAAGACATTGCGTAAATGGATCATTGCAGGAATACGTGACCAAGACCGATCAATATTAAATGCTAATTTCATCCATTCATTGCACAAAGCATTTCCTGTTATGTATCATTTAAGCTTGAAATATATGAAGAAAAGTCTACTGTACACAATATTTGACATTCAAATTATATATCTATTTAATATCTTCTCCAGTTAACACCAATCCGCTTCAAAAGTCGTCATCGACACACAACAGAAACAAAAAATAGAACGGACTGTAGTAGATTTGATTATGTATATTTTTTTACTTTACATCAGTTATCACTTGTAATTTGTATAGGTTTCTATTTGCAATTACAATTTGTTCCGTAACAATGGTTAGGTCACGTATTTGTCAGCAGTGTGCCATGGTTTAGCTTGCTACTTATTGTTTGACATGTGCTGCGATGACTTGAATATGTGTTGTGAGTTTTGCTTGATTTCTCTATTGAAGACAATTGAAAATTGTTTGAGATTTATTGTCATTTGTCTAAAATGAAATGTTACATGTTGCTCAGTTTTACTTACATATCCCCCATTTGAAGTTTTCCGCCCATGAATTACTTCTTGAGTAATACAATATTGAAAGGATGAAAATTAATTCTTCTCTGCAGTATGAAACACCATAACAGTAATTGTTGTACTAGCTATATATAGAAGGTAAACTTTGAAAGCACTATTAAAGGCTATTGAAGTTCATTATGTATATTTGTTGTTATCAGTACAGGTTTAAAAAAATCTTTGAAAATGCTCTATATATTACACAGGTGACATCATAAGTCATCTTTTAAAATTTTATGACAAAGTTGCATACAAAAGAATGATAGTTTTATATCAAATATTTTCAAAGGATAAAATTAAGATGTTTTACAAGCTATCACTGTTGTTCATTTAGAGGGCATTTTTTGTCTGTCTTATCAAATAGGCAGTAAGTTTATTGTCTGTATGTTTCGTACATCAATTTTTGATAATAATATGCATGGCTCAGTATAATGTTCTACAAAATTTTAATAGCCCAACCTACATGTTAATTTCACATGGAAACAGGTTTTGTTTAAATAAATGAAATGATTCTACCGGTAATATATTTTAAGAATTAAAATGCATTCACAAAGTTTAACAAAGATTCTCAGTCATGTACTTATTTTGTGTTGTTATATTTACAGATTCATAGAAATATGTTAATATTGAATATTTATTCAGTTTAGATGAAAAAAAATGGTACGTTTGATACTCTCAATATTGTTTATTTAGGATGTTGCGCCATTACAGTTCCAATAAACATTCTGATTCAGAATACATACGTCTTTACTCAATTATTAACGCAATATTATGGCCTATTTGTTTTTTTCTACATTTACATTACCAAAGGTTTAATTGCAGTTAAATACTATACGTTAGACTAATATGTTAAGATTGTACTAAAACGTCTTCCACCATTATAACATTTAGTTCACTTTATATGTTATAAAGGCCACAAGGTATTTATTTTGCTATGTAAATAGACAAATTATATGTAAATATATAATTATATGTGACATGCCTTGTAAATAAAAAAATAAATTATGGTTGGATTTTATGACGAATTGTTCTTTTTTCATAATCTGCAATGGTCGAAACATCAGGGATACACATTGGGAAGTCCCAAACTATGGGTCGTTTGAATCATTTTAAGTCTTTATAAATCTTTCTTTTCTCAAACAGAAACAGCACAACTTGTAGCATGTCCAGCGATCCAGTACTGAAAATGACTACAATATTTTTCCCGAAAAAAAAGGGTGAATGCTTTGCTTCCGAATAAGAATATTTTTTAACCAACACAAGAATTTGTTGAATATGTTGTATACATAATTCATTTCTTCCTATTTATAATGTTATTTTATATGACAAATATAAATCATTTGTTTTAGATTTAAGATGAAATGTAAGATATTTATTGAACATGAACTTATCAAGGACAAAGCAAAGCAGTAATTTTGATTCTATCTTCTTTGACAACGTCTGTATGTACAACCGAGTTACGTCGTACAAGCATTATAATAGAACTTGAAAAAGAGAGCTGCAATAAAAACAAAACTAAATTGGTAACTCGATCGGGTTTGTTAATCTTAGTATTTCTTATGCCCGCAAGCACGGACTTGAGCAATTTTCAAACTTCAATAGTAATGGAAATTAATATTCTTGACGGACCTTCCTAAAATGAAAACTTACCACAGTACAATTAATTTAATAACTTGTTTTGTCTTTACAACACCATTTTAAGACCAGTAGTAAATGAAGATGTACTACAAATGTGTCGAAAAACATCATTACGCATGCAGTATTTAGCTAGAGAGTGTTGTCCGAATTTGCTGTCAAAAAAATAGAAATAATGATTGCAGAACATTCAGTCTGAAAATATTTTTCTTGTTACACATACTTTAAAGATAATAAGACATTTTAATAATATATTAACATATGAAGTTGAATATTTGTACAACGATAAAACAATGCAAATTGACAATTTTATTCAACATAATATAATTCTGCTTGAAGAAAATACATAACGAAAAAAAAAAAACAACGTCGACAAACTTTTTAAATACGTAGCCGTTAATGATTATTGTGTTAAAACTTTAACTGTCATAATTTTAGATAGGCTAACATAGATGGTTAGTATTGTAAAAGCTAAATTATCCGTCTGTTTCTTTTTAGTAAAACAATGACCGGTAACATATAAGAATTCATTCTTTCTATATTATCATTTTGTTAAATTAATCTTGTGTTACAACAGGCAAAATGATAAGAAATGAACTATCTGAACTGAAAAAGAACGTTACATTTAAGTAGTGAGGAACATACAAAGACGCCGATATATTAAACCCTGAAACCAAATGATTATATTGACAAATCATATTTTACGGTACGCAACATTGAGTTTAGTAATGAGTGCTATAGTTACTAACGCAAACAGTATTGTTAGTAAAGACTTAAGGCTCACTTAAGGACAAAGTGTTTATGAAGAAATCGCTTCCAGACAATCACATCGATACAAGTCTATTGAAATAATTGATTTCATTTCCACTGCAAAATTGTGTCTTTAACTCCTGCACCTAGATAAATCAACTAAAAGTGTAAACACTGGAAAGAGGTTGGGGGAAAATATGAAGAGAAACTACTTTTTTCAAATAGAATCAAACAATACAAAGTTAAACTATAAGTCTAAAGACATAATTAAGAAATTACATTTCTTTCATGCATTAATTTTCAGCTCTTTAATAAGCTTAGTCATGAACATATAGTTTTATCAAACGTAATGGACGAATCACGTATAGAAATCAGGAATAGGGTGATCTCTCGGAAGCATTTATCACAACAAAAATACATGCAAACTGCAGACGCGGTTAATTGTGCCTGTACATGAGGGATAATGAAAAGTGCATCATCCCTCCCCTAGCACCGGCTTGAATGATACTCAATTTTCAACGCTTACAAGGGCTGTAATCAATGATCCCGAACATCAGACACATTGACGAAAATGTTTATCAAGGCATAATTGACGTGAGAAAATTTCAAAAAATATAAATACATCTCTTAATCAACATCAATATATTTACAAATTTATGTTCAAAAGGTGTATATTACCATTCTAAAATACAATGTATTAATGATGCTAAATGAACAAAAGTATAACCATTGAACTACCTAACCTGTCGAGATGCGAAATAACACATTGCTTTCAATATCTATTAAAGAATGGAAAGCCTTGCTTTCTACAATAAATTCAGAATTGTTGGTCGGTGATCACATTAGCAATATATCTGCGATTAAACAATCTGGATTATATACTTTAGGTTCCAATTTTGGAAAAAAAATTGTAACTTGGTCTCCGGATGTGAATTAAGTCTAAAAACGGGAAGACTAAAAAATCCGTCCGGTCAACATTGTGAATCAGGCGACCCGGGTTTTGATTTCCGGACGGTGCAGGTCACTTTCGTTGTAAATAAATCATGAAATCCTTTCTACGGTCATCCGCACTGCACCTCTGCTCTTGGATGTACAAACGTTATCAGTTCCTTGCAAAAGTGAAGGCAACTAGTACTGCCTGGTAAACGACTTGATAGACTGCTCTGGAACGATGCGGTGGATCGATCAACTGAGCTCTGGTAAATTCAATTTGGCTTTCTGTCGTGATCCGGAGTGAAAACTACCACCACCAACAACACACACGCACGCACACACACACACACGCGCGCACACCAACACACACACACACACACACACACATAAGACTAAACATCTATACTTTCAGTAACACATATCAGAATATATCAATATAACTGTATAAACTGAATTTGGTTTTAAATACCTTTTTGCAGAAATTCCTGTATTTCATATTTCAGTTAAAAGGGAAGATGTAAAACAAAAACATTTTAACAGAAGCTTCGTAGATGTCACCTGGGAATCCAACAAGTTTGATGTAGATATTAGACCGTAGCACAGTATATCATCGTTACGATATAATGTTCTGAAAGCACTTCTAAACCATATTTATATATTGCGATAAACTTGCTAATGAAGATATATATGACTTGGTATTTTGTTTGCTAAAGTAGTTTCCAATTAAGTCCAAGAATATACTGGTTCATATTTAAAATCATCAGACATGTTTCTGTCAAATATGGATTTGGTAAAAGAAATTCAAATGCGCTGTAAGTTGTTTCTTGTGTTTTTGTTTTGTTTTGTTGTTGTGTTTGTTTTGTTTTTATAGTGTCTGTTTGTTTTTGTCTGTTGTTGTTGTTGTTTTATCTTGTTGTTGTTTTTGTTTTTGTCTATTTGTTTTTTGTTGTTGTTTTTTGTTCTGCTTTTGCCTGTTTTGTTTTATTGGACCTGGAGTCTAATTAAGGAAAATAGGCTTTCATTAAGCGGATGATATCAGTATATCAAAGTAAATTTCTGTAATATATATATCACCTTTTTATTTGTGTATAACATTAAGATCCTCACTTCAGTTTCGGCAGTATAAAAGACAGTAGCTATAAACACCATATAAGTATCAGCGTGACTCAAAATCTAAGCAAAATATATCAATTAAATCTAAATAAATAAATAAAATATATATATCAAAATCATCGTTTGGTGAAATTATAAATCTTTGAATTCACATAGCTTCTTTTTAACAATATAATGCCAACAAGTTACCGTTTATGTGCGTCTTCTTGACAAATAAAGATAAAAATATCAACAGGAATCTAATAAGCCTGTTTCCTGATACAAGAAAGTTTTCCAAATTACAAGATTGTAATGGTAATTACTGTGCAGAGAAACAAGGGTAACATCGGGAATTTAATGTCAAGTTGATGTATTTGTCCATAGTGTAATAAAGTGATTATGTAACAATGTTGTCTGTTTTGTAATCTAATGTGTGTAATTATCAAGAGATGTGCATTCAATGTTGCTGGTTGATAAAATTTTGTTTATTACCACCTCGTAGAAATTTAAAGACAAGGGAAACATTTAAATGGATTAATGCAAATGAAGCAGGTATTATGATTGATGGATTGCAACTTTTATAAGACTCTTTCTTTATTTATGTGTTTCGTCTTACCCAAAGGAAATAATTCAGACAAAATTTAAAGGCCTATTATCATATATAATATGGGCCGCCTCATGAGAAAACCAATTATAGTGCAAAAATGTCACTTTCTTAATTTTTACAATTTTATGATAATACAATAATTTCCACTTACTATGGTACAATTTTTATATCCTTTTGGTATTTAAAAGGTCGTCAGTAGAACGTAACGTCAAAATAAGGTAAGGGAAATGACGTAATGATCATACGAAAGTGCTGCAAACACTGCAAAATAGTACATTTATCATAATGTGTACAGACTTTGTATACGTTTATCTATTGCGTTCTACAAAAAAAGAAAGAAAGA